CCAGGCTACTCGTCCTCCAAACTGAAGGTGTATTTCGAGAAGGGATTAGGAGCTTGTTAGCTGGACAGAGATCGCTGGCGGCAGGGCTAATACCCAGAGCGCTCCAAAACGCGCCATTTACTGCAGCGACATCTAATGGCCAGAGGAAGCACTGCATGTTCTCATTGAAAATGCAGCCTGTGGTTCTATCTAGTGAGTTACTTTTATTTTTTATTTTTTAAAAGATCTTATTTATTTATTTGACAGAGAGGAGATCACAAGTAGGCAGAGCGGCAGGCAGAGGGAGAGGGAAAAGCAGGCTCTCCGTTGAGCAGGGAGCCTGATGTGGGACTTGATCCCAGAACTCTGGGATCATGACCTGAGCTGAAGGCAGCCACTTAACCAACTGACCAACCCACGCACCTGAGTTACTTTTTTTTTAAAAGTAGGGTGGACAAGGTATTATTATATTTATTAACTCCTGTAAAAATCACACTTAGCCGCCACCCTAAGAATTCACTTCCTATCACCCTTTGGATGATATTTATGATGTTATTCATAATTGGATGCTGATCATATTTTATGAAAACCATGTAATTAGCTCTTTGGGATTTTTAAAAAAAGATTTTATTTATTTATTTGACAGAGAGGGACACAGTGAGAGAGGGAACAGAAGCAGGGGGAGTGGGAGAGGGAGAAGCAAGCTCCCTGCCGAGCAGGGAGCCCAATTCGGGGCTCGATCCCAGTACCCTGGGATCATGACCTGAGCCGAAGGCAGACGCTTAATGACTGAGCCACCCAGATGCCCCGGGATTTTTTTTTTTATAACCATCATGACTTTGCATTTATTTTAAAGCTTGTTGTTGAAGCTATGAGTATCTATTTCAAGAAGGTTTCCACACCAGGGAAGAGATGATCAAGTTTACTCCCAAATACTCACTTCTAGGGTATCTTACTCCAGTTTATAGTAGAATGTTGTGGTTAAAAAAAAATTGAAAAGTGATATTAATCATTGCTGATGATTGCTGAGGAGATGAACCACTCCCTCACAGATGGTGCAAGTATAAACTTACAGCCTTTCTGGGGTGCACAGTTCATTGAGAGCCTCAGAATTATATTTATCTTTTTAAAAATTTATTTTAAGTGGGCTCCATGCTGGGCGAACTCATACCCTAAGATCAAGACCTGAGCTGGGATCAAGAGTCAGGTGCTTCGGGGAGCCTGGGTGGCTCAGTTGGTTAAGGGGCTGCCTTCGGCTCAGGTCATGATCCTGTAGTCCCAGATTGAGCCCCGCATTGGGCTGCTTCTCCCTGTGACCTTCCCCGCTCTTGTGCTCTCACATACTCTCTCTCTCAAATAAATAAATAAAGTCTTAAAAAAAATTCAGATGCTTAACCAACTGAGTCATCCAGATGTCCCAGAACTCTTTTTATCTTGTGACCTCTAAGTCCATTTGTAGGAATAAAGCTGAAGGGTGCCATCACATATGTGAGAAAAAAAATACAAGGGTTTTCACTGCAATGTTATCATACTGATGAATAAGAAATAGCCTAAATATTTAAAAACTGAAAAATTGTTATTTATGGCACAGTGGAAGCAGAAATGGATGTTATGCAGCCACAAACCGAGAAATGCTTAGGGCAACTAGAAGCTAGCAGAGACAAGGAAGCAACCTCTCCTACAGACTTCAAATGGGGCACGGCCCTGCCGACACCCCCGTGTTCAAATTCAAGCCAGAAGCACTTTGTGAGAAGAAATCATTGTTTTTTTAAAAAAACCCATGGGACATCCATACTGTGGACTATTACGTGAAAATCTAAAAAGGTATTCTCAATACTTGATGGCCTGGGGCAATAGTGGAAATAAATAGGATACTAATTTATATACGGTGGGAACACAATTTTGAAAACAACAAACTCTTCCACAGACATGTATCTCACCTATTCATGCACATACATATGTACCTGTTCACACATACAAGTATGCAGAGAAACTATTAATCATTGTGCATAGGTGTTGGGTTTATAAGTAATTTTTTAAAAGATTTTTTATTTATTTACTTGACAGAGATCATAAGTAGGCAGAGAGGCAGGCAGAGAGAGTAGGAAGCAGGCTCCCCACTGAGCAGAGAGCCCAATGCGGGGCTCGATCCCAGAACCCCGAGATCATGACCCAAGCCGAAGGCAGAGGCTTAACCCACTGAACCACCCAGATGCCCCAATTATTTTCTTTTTTATACCTTTCTGTGTGTACCAAATTTTCTATAATCTATGTGCATTACTTCTTTTTATTGTGGTAAAACATTCATACTACACTTGATATTAGCCAAAAGGCCCAGAAGTGATTGTGGTAAAACATTCGTAACATAAAACTGACTATTTTAAGGGTAAGTATATTACTTTTAACATTAGGAATAATAGGGGTGCCTGGGTGGCTCAGTCAGTTAAGTGTCTGCTTTTGTGGTGCTCAGGTCATGATCCCAGGGTCCTGGGATGGAGCCCCACATGGGACTCTGCTCAGTGGGGAGCCTGCTTCTCCCTCTCCCTCTGCCCCATCCCCCGCATCATGCTGTCTCGAGGCATCTCTCTCTCTCTCTCAAATAAATAAAATCTTAAAAACTTGGGAATAATGGTTTTTGTGAATAGATGTGTACTAAGCAGGAGCTAAACTTACATCTATATTATAATTACAATAATGTGACCATCGTTTGTTTGGACCAAGGACAGGAAACGAATACAACCCGGAGAGATGAAGTGAGATGGATGGGGGATGGGCAGAAGAGTTGGGGGGTCATTGTGATGTGTTAATTGTTCTGAAAGCAGTTTTTCTCTATAGGTTGAGATCAGCCCTTTCAGACTTTTCAGTGCGGAGGAAGGAGAGGCCCAAATCTAGCCAAGAAAGCTGCAAGGGGAAGCCAGGGGTAACCGAGCCAGCAGAGAGACAAGTTAGAAGTTAGAGTCTCTTTCACTGAGACAGCTTTAAGGAAGAGAGGAAAGAAAAGTGGGCTTCATCTGGAGGCTTCATCAAAGACCTAAAAAAGCAGAGTATGGGAACAGGGAGGCTGCTTGGGCTCGAGCCAGCAGCCTCGAGTTTAGAAGCAGAAATGCCAGTGGAGTGTGTGTGAGTGTGTGTGTGTGTATGTGTGTGTGTTGGGGGGGGGGTTGCATCATATTTGTGTGAGCTTTCACGAGCTCCCTGGAAACCTGGCATCACCCAGGGTCACTGTACTTTGCAGCTGCTACCGCCCCCAAGCACAGCAAGGCATCCTCCTACCTGATGTCCCCTGCTCCCCCAAGTAACTCCTCACCTGCATCTTTCTCTTCACTGTGTCAAAAGGAAAGGAGAGGGTCTGGGTTACGGCAGCAGCCAGGCAGACATTGACGAAGTTCTGGAGGGGTGAGAACCGATCTCGGGGTCCATTCCAGAGTTTCTCCAGGTTCATGTAAACTAGAAGGGAGCCAGCAGAGAAGGGCAGAGCACCTGCGAAAAGAAGGCCAGGAAGAGGCTGCTGCTGTCTCCAGCGCTGCTGGCTTGAGAGCCTTGGGGAATCCCAGGCAAGTAAACAGGACTGGCTCCAGGCTCGTTAAAAGCACTCCAGCCAGAGCTGCCCGAAGCAACTTTTCTTCGGTGACAATAATGTGCTTCCTTTCGATAGGGGGTGTGTTATCTGTAAAATGCATCAAACAGTTCACTCAAGGTTGGCGCACTTTGCTGTATGCAAATTTTACTTTACAAAGAACTGCAAACAAATATCGGACTCTAGTTCGGGAGACACGTGTTGAACAGTGGCGGGGTGGAGGGCATTGATGTCAGCAAATTACGTGGAAGTCATCCAGAAATATGTAAGATGGACCGATGAATGGCCAGAGGGATGGACATGTACATGATAAAGCCATGTGTTAACTGGAGTGTCCGGATGGTGGGCGTGTGGGTGTTTTTGATTCTTGTAACTTCTGAGTGTACTGTCAGAAATTTTTAAAAAAAATAAAATCTTGGGGGGCACCTGGGTGGCTCAGTGGGTTAAAGCCTCTGCCTCCGGCTCAGGTCATGATCCCAGGGTCCTGGGATCGAGCCCCGCATTGGGCTCTCTGCTCAGCGGGGAGCCTGCTTCCTCCTCTCTCTCTGCCTGCCTCTCTGCCTACTTGTGATCTCTGTCTGTCAAATAAATAAATAAAATCTTTAAAAAAAATAAAATAAAATCTTGGGCGGGGGGAGATCACTTTCATAGAGGAAACAGGGAGTGGCACTTCACCAGGTTTCCAAGGCTAGGAGGGACTGGTCTCTGGCTGAGGAGGAGACAGTCTGTGCGAACTAGAAAGTGAGACTGTTCTGGTGAGCGAGGGCACTTGACCTTGTTTTGGGGAATGATGTGGCCATATCAGGGTCCAGGAAAAGATGTCAAGTAGGTAGTGCAGTTTTCAAGAAACTTCCAGAAACTTTGGGAGCTATCTTAAGTTTACAGAGGAGCTAAATTTCTCTGTCGAAATAAGACTTAAAAGAGAGGCTAGCATCAGAGGCTAGCATCAGCTAACTTTATCTTGAGGAAAAGGCAGTTATCTATTTAATAAACACATTGCAAATGAAGTACCAACCCCCCTGTTTACCTTCATTCAGAAAATATTTGTGGAGTTTATGTGATGTGCTCGGCCCTACACTGGGTGCTGGGAATACAAAGAGGCATAGGCTGATTCCTGGAGGAGACAGCTGATGTGTGTGCTAATTGGCCAGGGTGGGATGGCGGTACAAAGTGCTTTAAGCACACAAGGACCAGAGGGATTAATTTTACCTAGGGCATCAGGAAGGACTTCACAGAAGAGAAAACTTGCCCACTGGGTCTTGAGGATTGAGCAGGAGTTCACCAGACATTGGGAGAGCTGACAGGCAGTCCAGGCAGAGGGAACAGCAGGTGCAAAGGGAGTGGTGTTTCCAGGAAATTGCAAGTGTTTCTGGATGGCTGGGGCATGAGTGCCGGTGGAGGTGAGGGGGGCCGGGCCAACCGGGGCCAGGTGTGAAGGATCTAATGGTGTGTCATAAGGAATTTGGGCCTTTCCCTGTATCTCAGGAGTCAGGGAGGGCTGGAACAGAGGACAGAGGAATGAGGGTGGTGAAATGACCGCCTTTGGTTTCAGAAGCTCACCAGGCCCTGGCAGCAGTGCCTGGGACTGGGACCCTGTAGAAACCTCTTGTAAGTGTCTGTGGGAAGCATGAGGATGAGGGCAGAGGGAGGTGGGGAAGGAGGAGGGCAACAGATGGAGAGTGGAGTGGTCAAACTGACAGTACTTGGTGCCGGAAGCCAGAAGCCGGAAGCCACAGCGGAGAGAGGAGAGGAGCTGAAGCAGTTCTAGGTTTCTTCCGGCTTGGGCCACTGGGTGAAAGGCAGGTGATCGCGTTCTTTAGGGAACCCAGGAGGAGCAGGTGTGAGCCTAACGAGGACGTCGGGTTTAGTCTCGAGCTGGATGTGCCCTGGGAGTAGCAGGTGAAGGTGTCCAATAGCAGGTACTCGTCCTGCCATTGGGAATTGGTAGCAGTCAGTGGTTAAGACAGAGGGCTCTGGGGTTACATCGCTAGGTTCTTCCGCTTCCTACCTATGTGATCTCGGGCAAGTCCCTCAGTCCTCAGTCCCTGAGCATCTACTTCCTTGTCTGTAAGCTGAGGCTTCAGTGAGAAACTGTACGCCAGGCGTTCAGCACGGTGTGGGGCACAAAGAGAGCACCAGTAAATGGTAGTCACTATTGTTACAGAGGTCGGGAGTCCTTAGAGTATCATGATGCTTGGTTAAGTCATGAGCTTAGCTGAGGCCACCTGGGGTGGGGATGGAGGGTGAAAAGAAAGCCAAGGAAGGAGCCCCGAGGGAACAGTGACACGTGGGGGGCTAGCAGCGTCAGATCAGCCAGATAAGACAAAGCTGCCGGAGAGCTGGGAAAGACATCCAGGAGTTGGTGGGCTCCTAGAAGCCAGGCTTCCAGGAGAAGGGGTGGTCAGTCTCATTAGATGCTGCAACAAAGGTCCGATATCAGGTGAGAGTCTGCCGGGTTTGGCAATTGGGGGACTCTGGTGACTCGTGCATGTGTGGTCTTGGCAAAGGTTCCAGAGACCACGGAAGGTATGCTTGCTACCTGGTTGTGCTCACATATGTCTGTATGCAGGCCGAGTCTCTTTCCCGCAGTCAGATGGGGTGTGTGGGATTATCTTCCTATCAGTTTGGGCTGAGCCACCTTCACTCTCCCTTCCTCCCCTCCCTGGGATGTGATTGGCCAAAGTTAGGAGCGGGGTAGAGGGTATGTAGGCTAAGGAATAGAATGAAGCTAATTGGCTCCACATGGATTGAATCCACAGGAACTTGCCCTTAAAAAACCGCATTTAACTGGTTACAAACAAAGGTATACAATATTCATCTATACCAAAGAACATAACCTTTCTTTGGACAAGGTGAAAAGTTCCATCTTACCTAGAACAGTAAGGGAAACCCCTCGATACAGGGCTAGGAACCCTTCCTGTTGATAAACAGTAGAAAAAGCATGGAGGATCCCTCTGTAAGATGGTTCCAGCAAGTTCTGCACAATCAACCGGGTTTTGATGAGGTCTGTAGGGTACATCACAATGGTAGAAACCATGCCTGCAAGACTCCCAGCCATGATGGAGCTCCACTGGGAAATATGGCCCAGGTCATCCGTGAAGAGTATGACAAACCTAGGAGAAAAAAGGAGGAAAAACCCAAGAGAATCAGCTCTGGATTGTGCCTGAGTGTTCTATACCACTTCTTACAGTATCTCCCAGCATTTGGAAATGTTTTACAAAGTGAAAATTACTATATCAATGTATTAGGATTCACGAATAGCACATTCAATTCCACTATCTTAATAGAATTTCATGAGCTATAAGGAGATGCCTTTGTTCTTTATGTCTACCTTAAGTTCTTCCCACTTCATTTTGAGCATTTCCCCCTTTATCTGTGTAACTGTCAATCCTGGCTTGCTGGTGGGGTATAAATGAACAGGAGTACTTGGCAAATACTGAACTAGAATGTGCTCCTTTGGTTCTCTTGAAACTTAAAAGAAATGAAATTGCATGAAATGATGACTTTGAGCATCCTCAGTAACTAAGGTTTCTTTTTGTTTGTTTGTTTTAAAGCCTCTATGTCCAACGTGGGGCTTGAACTCACAACCCGAGACCAAGAGTCTCATGTTCTACCAACTGAGCCAGCCAGGCGTCATGCCCCTCCCTTCCCTCCCAGTAATTGAGTTTATTTATTTTTATCTTTTAAGATTTTATTTATTTATTTGATAGAGAGAGTATGAGAGAGAGCATGAGATGGGAGAGGTCAGAGGGAGGAGACTCCCCATGGAGCGGGGAGCCCAATGTGGGGCTCGATCCCAGGACTCTAGGAACATGACCCGAGCTGAAGGCAGACGCTCAACCAACTGAGCCACCCAGCATCCCCCCACCCCGCCCCAATAATTGAGTTTAAAAAATATCTTGGTTTGGACACCTGGGTGGCTCAGTCAGTTAAGCATCGGATTTCGGTTCAGGTCATGATCCCAGGGTCCCACTGAGCCTGCATAGGAGTCCCTGCTCAGCAGGGAGTCTGCTTCTCCCTCTCCTCCTTGCTCTGCCCCTCTGCCTGCTTGTGCTCTTTCTCTCTCTCAAATAAATAAATAAATAACATCTTTAAAAATATGGACTGGTTTAACAGTTATAAGGGAAGATGCGGCACCCCTGCTAGTTCCCTGGGAAATGACCAGTACAAACAAGATACCACTTCTCACCCAGCAGACTGGCAAAGATGAAAAAGTCTGACAGTATCAAGTGATGGGCAGGACACGTGGAGATGGAGATGGGAATGTTCCCATCTCCGCTGGCAGAAATGTCAATTGGTCCAGCCCCTTTGTAGTATCTAGCACAACTGAAAGAATGCCTCCTTTCACCCCAGCCATTCCATTTCTAGGTTCACATCCTAGAGGAGCTCTTGCCCACGCACACGTGCAGACAATACAACATTGTGTGTTCGTGTGAAAAGTCAGACAACCTAAAAGTCCATTCGTATGGGAATGGGTAAATTAGAGCAATTGTACAACTACAGCTACAATGAGCTTGAGGCTAGGTATTCATACAGATAATCCTAAAAGCATAAAGTTGAGCGAAAACAGCAAGCTGCAGGGTGACCTACAGTGTATGACAACCATCTATTTAAATGAAGAAACATACCCATAAAAGCATACCTTGTATTATTCATGGATGGATATAGCTACGTATTTTAAAAAGTGTCAACAGGGATGCCTGGGTGGCTCAGTGGGTGAAGTGTCTACCTTTGGCTCAGATCGTGGTCCCAGGGTCCTGGGATCGAGCCCCTCGGCGGGCTCCCTGCTCAGCGGGGAGTCTGCTTCTCCTTCTGCCTCTCACCCTGCTCTTGTGCTCTCTCAAATAAATAAATAAAATCTTAAAAAAATAGAGAAGTATTAAATAGGCCCTCGGGAAGATGGAGGGGGGAAGGAAATCGGAATGAACGGGACTTCTTTCTCTGGAACCTTTTATTTCTTTGTATTAAAAAAAGATACTTGAGGGGCGCCTGGGTGGCTCAATGGGTTAAAGCCTTTGCCTTTGGCTCGGGTCATGATCCCAGGCTCATGGGATCAAGCCCTGGGGAGCCTGCTTCCTCTTCTCTCTCTGCCTGCCTCTCTGCCTACTTAATGATCCCTGTCTGTCAAATAAATAAATAAAATCTTTTAAAAAATTGTTTTTAAAAAAAAAAGATACTTGAAGTATCTTTTATGCTGTCTTTCATGCTGTTACTTCAGGATGGTGGGTACATGGGCACTCTTCTTTGTGCTTCTTTACAGCGTTATAATGTGGCCCAAAACGGCTTTGGGTGGACTTTTCCAAATGCAAGCCAGGAAGACTGTTACGGTCCCTCTTTTTGGAAGCAGTCAGGACCAATCTCGGCAGAAATTGTTCAAAGGGCACTTTTACATTGTACACATTCCCTGCCCAGGAGGCAAAGGAATTTTACTCCTTGCTGATGAGGACAAAATCAAGAAGGGCTTGGAAACCAGGAAAAATAGTATTTTCTACTAGAGAATGGGATAGGGGAGAGGGAAGGAATAGTGAGGGTTTGAGTAAAAGGAAAATGAACAGGGCTAGGCTTAAAAAAAAGTATTATATCTTTTTCAAGATTTTACTTATTTGAGAGAGCGGGAGAGCACTCACAAGTGGGGGGGGAGGGGCAGAAGGAGAGGGAGAAGCAGACTCCCCGCTGAGCAGGGAGCCGGATGTGGGGCTCCATCCCAGGACCCTGGGCTCATGATCTGAACCGAAGGCAGAAACTTAAAGACTGAGCCACTCAGGCACGCTGTATCTTTTCAGACCATCCCCGGTTCTCTGGTTTTCAAGTCCCCCATAAAGAGGCGCATGTCCTGTTCCTTCAGCCTGGCAGCAAGCTGGGGCCCTCTGTGTGATAAATAAGACACGTGGGTATTCAGGTGAAATCATTTAAGGAGTCCTAGGACCAACCCTTTGCTCCCAAGTAAACACTCAATGATCACAAGCGTCTCTTTCAAGGGGTACCTGGGCGGCTCAGTTAAGCGTCTGCCTTCAGCTCAGGTCATGATCTCAGTGTTCTGGGATCAAGCCCCGCGTCAGGTTCCCCACTCAGCAGGGAGTCTGCTTCTCCCTCTCCCTCTGCCACTGCCCCTGCCCGTTCACTCTCTCTCTCTTCAGTAACTAAAATCCTAAAAAAAAAAAAAAAAAAGATAAAAGCATCTCTTTCAAGCTCTAGGAAAGTCTTCATTTTGTCAAACTATTGTTGACTACTGTTAACTGCACTAATTGAAACAGTCATAAAAGAAAAAAAAACAGTCATGAGTTAACCAGCTACTTCTGAAAGCTGCAGGTCACTAAAGCTGGGCCTTGCCAATGGGCCACTGGCCTCTCACTGCACGCTTCCATGTTCCTGCCTTTTCTCTCCCCCGGGGCCAGTCGAGTTGGAGGGGAGCCTGAGGAGGGGCAGGGGAGACGGAGGAAATGGACATGCTTGACCGGCCAGATGGTCTGCAGCCAGCTGGAACAATCCAGATGACGGTGGGAGTCTGAAATGCCAAAGAAACACCGTTCCTTCCCATCACCTCGCCTTCTTCCCTATCCCACTTGGCCACTTCCAGACTCATTTATCGAACTTCGACTATGCACTATGCACCACACAACTGTGCTCGCACTCAGCAGAGGTCCTAACGGAGCTCTACAGTCCTGCGAAAGCAGTTGGTGGAGAGGGACAATGGGAGAGGAACTAAGCCCTGGGTTCTCGGAACAACTTCATGGACGAGGAATAGGAACCCTGTCTCACGGCAGGTTGGTTTATAAAGTCGGGTCTTACTATCAAATGGACAAAATTCCAAAGAACCAAAGCAAGTCCTTTCTTCTCAGACTCTTATCATCCGGTAGAGACAAGGACCACCAACCCTTCCTCTGGGAACTGCAGAGTCAAGGCAGGTGACCCTAATAGGCCATCAGTCATCAGTGATGTCATCCTGCCCCGCCCCGCCCTTTCAGCTCTTGTCTGATTGGCTGGGGTAGCAGTGTTCCCCTTTCTGCTCTTCCCTGCCACCCCCGCCCCCCATGCACAGCTTTTCCCAGAAAGACTGGCTAAGCTGGTGAACAGCAGTAACCCCTTCCTTTCAGCCACAGGCTATCACACACCCCCGCCCCGCCCCCACCCCTGGTATCCGGAGTTAGGACTGCCACCCAGCTGAACACGAGCTCCTGGAGTGGTTATACAGTAAGAAAGTGGGGCTGGTTCCGAACTATTCCAGAGCTGCAGGGACACCAACCAACGTTTATACAGCTCGACAAACAGTTGTCCAGTAAAGCTGGAGGAAGATCCACTGGTCGATGGGTCTGACAGCCGGCCGCTGTGTTCCGCTCTATTTATTGCCAGGGCCCAGCTCCTAATAGACTCTACCCAGTGGATTTTTGATCATAAATCCAAGGGAGCAGACGTATCAGCATCACAATGGTGGGCAGAGCCCTGGACTAAGAAGCCAGAAGACCCGTTTCCAGTTCCAGCTCTGCCATTAATTCTCTTTGGGGACAAGTCAATTAATCACTCCATTTCCTGAACATTCTCCATGTTTACGCTTTGTTCAACCCCCCGATCCTGGGCTGTATACCATTACCCTCAGCCAACTGTTTCTGCAAACTCACAGCCAGGAAAGAGTAGAGATGAGTTAGTGTAAGGATGGACCAGTGGTATCATCTCTGTGTAGGAAGGCTAGCACCATGATTAGCCAACCACTTTGCTTTCTATGCCTAGCCATTCAGTGAAATACTCCCTTTTAGTTTCCAGGAGGAAAATAATCTCACAGGAAACATTATTAGCAAACTTAGGCCTGGGAACTCTTTCTTCCTCTCCCAGTCACCAGCCACCAGTCTGCGTCAGGTGCCCGCAGCTGCCACATGGACCAGTGCAACAGGTTACTAACTGGCCCAGCCACCCCTGGTCTTCCTCCTCTCTAGTCATTGTACCCTGCCACCAAGTGACAGTAATTCCTGTTGAGTTGCTCTAATCATCACCTCCCCACCACCACACCCCCTCAAAAATCTCCCACAGCTAACATTGGCCACACTGAATGAAGTCCAAAGTCCTTAACCGGGCCCTCTGAGATGGCATTCCAACCTGCTTTTCTGGCTGGACTTCCCAATGCTGCTGTAGACACACCCTGTGCTCCAGTCCTGCCGCATATCTGCCCACCTCTGTGCCTTGGCTCCTACGCATTCTCCCCAGACCAAAGCCAGGTGGTTTTTCTCCTCTGTGAGGTCCTCACATCTTCTCCTCCTCATCAGAAGCATGAATCTGTTTTCTTTTAAATATTTCATTTCTGGGGCACCTGGGTGGCTCAAGTTGGTTGGGCGTCTGCCTTTCAGCTCAGGTCATGATCCCGGAGTCCCAGGATCGAGCATGGCATCGGGCTCCCTGCTCAGCGGGGAGTCTGCTTCTCCCTCTGCCTCTCACCCCACTTGTGTTCTCTCCCTCCCTCTCTCAAATAAATGAATCAAATCTTTAAAAAAAATAAAGATTTCATTTTCAAGTAATCTCTACACCTAATGTGGGGCTTGAACTCACAACCCCGAGATCAAGGTGCATGCTGTACTGAACGAGCCAGCCAGGCGTCCTAGAAACGTGGATTTCTGTAGCACTCAGCCACATGCTGTGGACACAATAATCTTCCATTCTTCTGTTCCTCTGTAAGCCCTGGGGCCCCGGGAACATGCCCCTTTCGTCCCAGCAGGTACTTAAGGAGGCCTGGCTGTTATTAGTTCCAAATGAACACAGAGAGAAACGCAGCAGGGTGTAGTAGAGTTACGGATTTGGAGGCAGAATGTCAGCTGATGGGGCTCTCAGCCCTATCACTGAGGAATGGTGGGGCCAGTCTGAGCCCAATTCTGTATCTGGAAAATGGGCACGATACTTCCCACCAGATGGACCTTACCGAAATCCAATGATGTGCCCACACCCAGCCAAGGGTAACTAAGCGGTGATGGCTATACTGATCAGCTTGATTGTGGTGATCATTTCACCATGTATATGCACAGCAAAACATCAAGTTTTATATACTTTTTTTTATAGGTCAAGGACATCTCAATTAGGCCATTAACAAAACCGAATGATGTATATATACTAGGCAGTGTCGGGGCCAAGGACAGGCCTCCCCCATGATGGGCAACAATAGTGTGGTGGAGATTATCTTGAGCAGAAAACAATCAAGGCCCAAGACTAGGGCAGAAACTCTGACCTCCCCGCCAACAGCTTGAAAAGCCTTTAGAGGACCTGCTCCAGGAAGACCATCAATAAGGCAAGAATTAGGGGTGGTAGGGAGGAGTTTAGCAAAGGTTAAAATTCCTCTCTGTTCCCTGTTTCCGAGTGGCCCAGCCAACACTTACCAAACATTTGCTCTCTTTCATCCTGCTGTGATTTGCATTCCTTCCTTTTGGAGTCCCAGACCCCTACCTCCTCCTCCTTCGCTCAGAAGGACACCTATACCTCCTTTTGCCTGTCTTGGGAAACTCATATGTGTGTGGATTGCCCATGCGGAGGAAATGAAGTTTGATTTTCTCCCGGGAGCCTGTCTCACGTCCATTGAATTCGTCGTCCGACTAGAAGAAGAATCTTGGACAGAAGAAAAGCTCTTCCTCTCAGGCGGTGATTACCCGACCAGCCACAATACTGAAACCCGCCTGTAAAGTTTGGTCTCCTAATCCTCGGCCTACATTCCAAAGGCAGATTTCCATACCACCTTGTGGAGAGAACTGTTTACAGACATCAAGCCAGCTGTTGCTGAGGAGGAGGAAAGAGAGCCTGGAGACAAATGCCTCAGGATCTCCCTACCTTTCCTCCTCAGGGGCAGAGAAGGGAACTCCTCCCCAGCCTAGGTGAAATGTGGGCTGGCCAAGAGGACTCGTTTCAGTGAAAATGCAAACATCTCTGAGCTCTGAGGGACCTTTGAAGACTCATCTGGCATTTGCATGTTTAGATAGCTTCGGAAGAAGCAGCTGTTGTTGGGAGGTGAAAAATGCGCAAAGAATGAGGCCAGTGGGCAGAGGGTGGGGTGAGGCAGTAAGCTGGGGGACCTCTGTTGGGCCCTAAAGGCCAAGCTTCATTGGCGGGGGTGGGGGGGTGGGGGGAGCTGAAATCTGTGGCCTTTTGTGGCCATGGGTTGCCCCCCCCCCGCCCCCCTCCCGCCAAGCACTTTCCTCTGAGGCTTTGCCGACGACGAAGGCACAATTGCACACATACACCTTCCGAATGGTCTCTCTCCTGAGCCAGCCAACGCAACATTTCCAAGTTAGTGGAGGGTGGGAATGGGCAGGAAGCCGTCCCTCCCGACAGGTCTTCATTCCTTCCCTCCCCCAATCTCCTTTTGCCCCATTCCCCCTCCTCGCCGGTCCAACTCCGGGATCCTCTCTGCGCCGGGGGCTGCGCTCCGCAAAACGGCACCCGGCGGGCCGGGGAGGCCCCGCAGTGCACCCCAGGGCCTGCGCAGGTGCCGCGTCCTGGCCCGACTGCCCCGAGGGGCTCCCGCGCGATCCGGAAGGAGGTCGCGGCTTGCCGCGAGGCGCCCCCCCCCGCCCGAGGCCGAGCCCGAGCCCGGGAAGCAGGGCGGTGTCGGCCCCCCCCCCGCGGCGCCCCCTCCCCTCCCGGGCCCGCCCCGCCGCGCCGCGCCCGGCTCTTACTTGCGGTAGGCGGCGAGCTGCACGGCGCTGCAGGGGAAGAGGCGCAGGCACGCCACCGCGTTGCCCTTCCACAGGGCCCGGGGCCCCTCGGCGCGCCACACCCGGAGCCCCGCGGCCCACGGCCCCCGGGCTTGGCCCCGCGCGGCGCCGACCTGGGCCAGCACCGTGGCGAGCTCGAGCGGCGCGGTGAGGCTGAGGCTGAGCGCCCCCGCCACGCCCGCGCACAGCAGCCGCTGGCCGCCCGTCAGCCGGCCGTCCCGCCGCCACGTAGCCATCCCGCTCCGGCCGCCAGGGCCCGGCACCCCCCCCTCCCCACCCCGACCCCGGGGGACCGCGTGGCTCGGGATTGCGGCTCCCGGCGGACGGCCCGGCCCGGCGCGACGCGCGGCTCGGGGCCCCGCCCGACGTGGGGCGGGCCGCGGCCGGATCGGGAAGCAGGCTGCTCGCCCGCGCGCGGGCCTCGGGGTTGGGGCTGGGGCTGGGGAGGCCGCCCCGGGGCCGAGGCCGCGCCCTTCCCCTGGGCTCTGCGGCGGGCGGTGTTCTGTGAGCCCTGGAGAATTCCAGGCCCCGCAGGCTCTGCTTCTGGCTTCCCGCGTCTTCCGCGCTCCCCGAGCCCTCGCCGCCTCCCCTCTCTTGTTTACCACCCTTCCCTCCTTCCACATTCCACCCCTGGCCTGGGCTCTCCTCCCTCCGATCCCAAGAAGCGGCCCAGCCGTGCCAAGTGCGCAGGGCAGGAGGGGAAAAGAAACCTCTCACGCCGCGGCACCTATCACACTTGTCCAGCATTGGGCTTCCCGTGCGTGAGCTCACTGAATCCTCAAGAGAGCCCTTAATGGGCATGACCTCAGCTACTGCCCTCGGTTGGAGAGGCTCTGGCGGTGGTCTGGACCCTGGAACGTGCCTTGGCATCTTGGCAGCTCAACAGCTGTGTGACCTTGGGGGAGGTCACTCCAACCCCTCTCTGTGCCTCAGTTGCTTCATCTATAGTTTCTTCCTCTAGGGGTTGTTGTGAGGATTAAATGAACAGTGACACAGGTCAGCCCCAGCAAGAATTTCCGGTCCCCTTCCAGGGCCTTCTAGACTGATTCAGAATCAGATTGACAGGAGGCAGATGAACAGGAGAAAATCAAATGGAATTTTATACACACGGGGAAATCCACACAGACAGTGGACATTTCAAAGACAGGCAGAACAAGGTATCCGGGTCATCCTGAACTAAAGGACAGGTGGGGAGGGGTTTGGGACTTCACAGAGGAATGCGCTTCCCGGAACAATGAAAAGAAGAGCAGATGTCTGGCGCTGAGATGTGTGCCCTGCCAGACAGATGTGTCACTCAGATAAAATTGATCTCTGGTCATAATCCTTATTCTGGAAAAGACCCCCAGTGTAGATTCTTCTGTGCAGTTAAGGGAGGGGCAAACCCATCTTGGGGCAGCCGGCCAGTGGCCCCTCCAGCACTATGTCCGTAGCTCTGATTAGATACTACTTTGCAGAAGAGGAAGGCAAGACAGAGGGCTTGGCTTACCCTGGGTCACAGCTGCAAGGGGCAGTCGGGATTCAAATCTAGATTGATTTTACACCAACCAGCGGCTGCGCTACACATCCCCTGTGACTGAGAATGTAACTCAAGCAGGGACCTTCTCAGTGGCCCTGTCTGCTTAAGAGGACAATGGAGGCAAAGAAGGGCTAAGAGTGATTTGGCCAGAGTCCAAGAAGAATTTTGTTAAGTGAAACAGAATTCCAAGTGTCTCCCTGTCTCTGTTTTTGAAAAACCACCTTGATAGTAACAGTGCAAGGCAAAGGGGCCATGAGCAGTCTGTGAGGGCGAGACACCCCGGCACACGGTTGCTTTGAGGCTTATCTGGTTATTTCCTCCAACTGACTAACACACAGGACGATAAAGGAACCTTCTCTAGAAGGTGTCCCAGGGCCCAGATTCACAGGACTGGTTCTGACTCTGGATGCCTAGCTCTGCTTTCAAACATTGGAGAATGCTGACTTTTCATACTTCGTGACTTCTGTCCTGCTGTCAGCGGACTTCCCAAGCTGAGGGAGGTTGGAGAAAGGAGGCTTGCGACTGTGGACTTGAAGAGGCCTTGAACTGGAACCTGGGGCCAACAGTACCAGGACCTTCAGGTAGCACTTTGTCCTAAAGCTCCTTTCGCCCTGAGAATGGAAAAGTTGATGCAGCCATCCCATTGTATGGAGATTGGCTCAAGTCCCTTTTTTTCCTTTTGTTGCAAGGCAGCCTGTGTGAGGGGTTCACTGCCCCCATCCTGGGGACCGGGTATGGACATACTTTTCCTTAGCAATGCTATTCTTTTCTGTCCCTCATGAATAAGATTGTTCCGGTGAACCAGAGGTAAGAACCATTTTTACTTTTCATAGCTGTGGGCCAGGAGAAATCAGGAGCTGGTGGTTTAAAGTAAAAATGTATATATTTGTTTTGCTATAGGTTCAACAATTAAAATGAGTAATAGGGAAGTATATAGTTATTGCCTTCTGTCTTTGTAGCAGGGCGCTAACGGAATGAGGTGTGTTCCTATTCTCAGCGAGAGCCTCATTTATTTGCTAACCATAGAGAACTTATGTATATTGATCTTATAAATCACTTCCTGAGCATGTCCCGTATTTAGACGATGCCTTGGGGACTCAGGCTAAGTTTAACTGCTTCCTTTGCACACTTGGTGAAAAGTTGGTGAAGAAACACAGCAGGTTAAGGACCCACAACTTTGAAAAAGGCACAAGATGTGAAACTGGGGTACTCTTAAAAATAAATGTATGAGGGGCTCGTGGGTGGCTCAGTCAGTTAACCGTCTGCCTTCAGCTCAGGTCATGATCCCAGAGTCCTGGGATCAGGTTCCATGTCAGGCTCCCTGCTCAGTGGGGAGTCTGCTTCTCCCTCTCTCTCTGTCCCCCACTCGGGCTCTCTCTCTCAAATAAATAAATAACATCTTAAAAAAATAAATGTGTGATTACTTTAAGAAAACGATGCAGGGGCGCCTGGGTGGCTCAGATGGTTAAGCCTCTGCCTTTGGCTCAGGTCATGACCTTGGGGTCCTGGGATCAAGCCCCCACATTGGGCTCCCTGCTCAGCGGGAAGCCTACTTCTCCCTCTCCCACTCCCACTGCTCGTGTTCTTTCTCTCTCGCTGTCTTTCTCTCTCTGTCAAATAAATAAATAAAATCTTTAAAAAAATACATTAATTTGTTTAAAAAAGATGTGGAGGGTACCTTCTTAGTTGGTAGAGCACTAACTCCTGATTGGGGGGGAGGTTGTAAGTTCGAGCCCCATGTTGGGTGTAGAGATTACTTTAAAATAAAAATTTTAAAAGGAGGCAGGTAATAAAACAAACCAGCTGAGTAGTAATTTCACAGAAGGAGAAAGGTGGCTGGCTGACTGGAGGCACGAGGCCTCCTGTCACCCTGGTCCCGCCTTGGGAGATGCTAACAGTTTTAAATTCAACTGTCATTCTTCACTTTCTCTTCTAAGTGATATCCTTTCTCCACTGTACTGTTAAAAAAAAATCAACCAAATAATCTTGAAGATCTAATTGGCTTTCTTTCTTTTCTTTTTTTTGGGGGAGGGGGAGAGAACATGCATGACAGCGTGAGCAGCTCCTAGCAGAGGGAGAGAGAGAGAGAATCTTAAGCAGGCTCCACGCCCAGCATGGAGCTGGATTGAGACCCCTGAGATCATGACCTCAGCTGAAATTAAGAGTTGGACACTTAACCCACGGAGGCACCCAGGTGCCCCTAAGTGGTTCTTCTTTCTTAAGTGATTCTTTTTATAAGATTTATTTATTTATTTATTTATTTATTTAACAGCGATCACAAGTAGGCAGAGAGGCAGGTAGAGAGAGAGAGAGAGGAGGAAGCAGGCTCCCCGCTGAGCAGAGAGCCCGATGCAGGGCTCGATTTCAGGACCCTGGGAGCATGACCTGAGCCAAAGGCAGAGGCTTTAACCCACTGAGCCACCCAGATGCCCCTCTTAAGTGATTCTTAAAAATACATTGATTTATTTGAGAGAGAGGGCGTGCACCAGCAGGGGGAGGGGCAGAGGGAGAAACAGGCTCCCCGCCCAGCCGAGAGCCAGACACCGGGATCGTGACCTGAGCTGAAGGCAACGATGCTTAACCGACTGAGCCACCCAGGCACCTCTCTTAGGCGATTCTGAATAGGGCTGCACTCCCTGTGGCAAGTAGAGAGGCTCATAGGAACTCTATGGAAGTAGAAGGTTGTTCTGGGCAGGAGGGTGGTGTGTGGCAAAAAGTTATTAGCAAAAGAAAAGAAAGGATAGGTTTAGGCTGGGACAGCTGCTTTTGGGTGGAAGGGAATGGTGGGGTGTTTATCATGCAGATTACATTACTAGTGCTGATAAGGACTTCCAGATTGTTAAAAAAGTCACATTCCTGGGAGAGGTGGAAACTCATTAAATTTTGGCTGGCGGTCCTGGGGTTGGGGGGCACTCCAATTTGCGCTTGCTTTTCTTTTCATTTCCTTTTTTTTTTTTTAAACAATACATTGGCTTAGTTCCACTTGCTGATGTTTCTCAGGTTTTAGTTTATCTTGCTATAATTGTACCAATGTTGGTGGATTCCCACTTTTTTAATTTGTCTTTTATTCTTAAGCCTTACAGAATTTTGCAACTTACAAAAGAAGTAAAAAGCTTTCGACACCAAGACAGATGGTACAGAAGTGTGTTCGAGAGAGTTAGGTGCCCCTGCATGTGCTATGGGGCCATTTTCTTCCGGCTCAAATACTCGTTTATATGGGGTTTTCCCCTCCCTCCCTCGTGCTCTCCCTCCCTCCCTTCATTCCTTCCTTCTCTTAAAAATGGAGTCACTTATGCTAAACCCCACCAGAACCTGGGGCCTAATCTCACTGCAGCTTCCCCGATTCTTCCAGAAATGTGATCTTTAACCAGGCAGCCTGGAATTTTTCTGGTTAGCTGCATTAGGGAGTAATCCACCGCCCATGGACCCTTCCATTCCCCTTAGGAGGGCTGCCTTGCCTAAAACAATGCGTTCTTTGCTAATAATACCACCCTACTCACCTCTGCCTTGAAAACCCTTTTCTTTTTCTTTTTCTTTTTTTAATTATTTATTTATTTATCTGACAGAGATCACAAGCAGGCAGAGAGAGAGGAGGAAGCGGGCTCTCCACTGAGCAGAGAGCCTGATGTGGGGCTCGATCCCAGGACCCTGGGATCATGACCTGAGCTGAAGGCAGAGGCCTTAACCCCCTGAGCTACCCAGGTGCCCTGAAAACCCTTTTCTTTTCAGCAGCTCAG